TGCATGGTCAGAAAGGACAAGAGATACACAGTAAAAGAGGTCCAAACGGAGCAAAACTCTAAGCAGGTTCCAGGGTGCTTTACAATATGCATAGGCTCAAGAAAGAAAGAGTATGTGTATAGACAGTCATAGAAAGAAATAGTTTAAAAAATAATAAAGTCTTTAAAGAGAGTAAAAGTATAGAAAAAAAGAGCCACAGAAGACGGGAAACACACAGGGAGGCTGGGTCCTATATAGTATTGGGTTGATTTTCAATGCTGATGAGTAAAAGACAGCTGTTGACAGACATGGGATTGTGAGCAGGACTGCTAAATTGAACCAACCTAGATACTTTAGGGCTATCTTAACTTTTAAAAAGAAGTCAAAAATGCATTTTTCAAAGGGAAGTTAAAAATGCTTTGGAGAAGAGTTTTTGCTTTTCTTCCCACAGGAGACAAGAAGCTCTGGATCCCTTCAGGAATAAAATGGATCAGGTTTGATCAAGGGAGACCTTCTGAATCTTGACAGGTGATCAACACAGGTAACAGCTGGTCTTCCCAGGACTTCTCAGATTTTCTCAGGGACCACTAACGATGTTTTTGCCCACAGACAACAGAATGCAGTTTGAAGAACATGATGCCCACCTTCCCAAGGAGGGTGTGGGAGGCTTTTATTTATTTGGTGGCTTATAAATGTGTGTTATCATTTAGGGGAATATAGGAATATGGGATAAAAAGGCAGCTATTAATCTCAAATATTTTGCATTGGCATGGATTTTGGTATATGGGTACACATTTAAAGTTAATTTTGTTACACTGTATATATTCTTCTACTCTATTGTGCTTATGCGGCTCATTTAAAAATGCAATAATTAAGAAATGAGGTTAGTAGTTAATCTATAATAATCAAACTTGTGGTCACATTACATATGTTTTCAAGGTTAAATAGGTATATTTTAGACAGATAAATGATTTTCTTTTTTCTTTTTCCTTTGGTTGTTGTCCAGGCACCAATGTCTAATGTATTCATAGGAGGTATTTTGTGTAACAGCAATTTCAGGGCTTTTTTAAGCTTAAAGACCTTTTGTTTATTTTATTTATTTTCAATTTAATTAATTAATTAATTTTAAGTTTTTAATACAGGATTTCTCTGTGTAACCCTGACTGTCCTAGAACTCACTCTGTAGAACAGGCTGACCTCAAACTCAGAAATCTGCCTGCCTCTGCCTCCTGACATGTACCACTATGTCTGGCCACACATTTAAGGCTTTTTTTTATTGTTTTTCAGATAAATGATTTTCAAACACTTCAACAACATACAAAATATGGCCTTTAAGATGTTTAATAACCTAAGGTTTTTCATGATGAGACACATCTGCTCCTGGCAGCACCAATTTACTTCAGAGGATTTTGCTTTCATTGTGGCAAGATTAGCCATTTGGGTAAGAAACTGCATTTGCCTTGACTGTTTGATAGTATGTGATATAAACTGGACACACAGGATCCACAGGAAAATGACTTCTGAACTTTGTCAAAACAAGGTGGGATGATCCTTCAGGGTTCCTGCTTTATGGAAGAGTCCGAAGACATCCTACAGAGCACAGAGGAAAGCGACTGATGAACTTTGTCAATACAAAACAGGACAGCTCTTCAAATTTCCTGCTTCACTGTAAAATCTGTCAGATACTCTAAACCTGTAGGCTGAAGATGGATGTCCCAACATTGCAGAGGAACTTTGGGTGACTGTCCAGGCAACTAGATTTCTCTATTGTTAGGTAATATTAATTCCTTCTGGAGCCTTTGATGGAGTTAAAGACTAAATAATTAGAGTTATAGTTGTCTTTGGTTATGATAGAAAGTAAATTAGGTATACAAGTTTAGAATCACTAAGATAAGATAGGTAGTAAAGTATTTTCTCTGAATTTGAATAATACAAATGAACTGAATATGGTAAATGTAATTCTTATTTAATAACATTTTTTGTTATATATAGTTTTACATGCTAAAATTAAAACCTTTTATTTTTATTTAGACAAAATGGGAACAGACCAGCAATGAACATGAATAAGCAAGTATCTCTGTAATAGGATACAGAGATATGCCCTTTGTGCATTTGTCCAGAGTGGTATAGCTGGAATTGTGGTAAATCAATTTTCACTTTTTTTTTAAGAAAAGGATTCTCTGTGTCATGGTCCTGGATGTCTTGGAACTCATTTTGTAGTTGTCCTCAAACCCACAGAGATGTGCTTGATTCTGCTTCAAATTCACAGAGATGAGGCCTCAAACTCACAGACATCTGCCCACTTCTGCCTCCTGAATACTGGGATTAAAGATATCCACCATCATGCCCCTCGGCAATTTTCAAATTCTTGAGGAACCCTTCTACATTGATTTCCATAGTGGCTGTACCATTTTGCACTCTTACCAGCAATGAATACGTATTCCCTTTTCTCTGCCTCCGTGCCAGCTTGGCCTGTCATTTGCTTTAATCTTGGCCATTCTAACTGGGGTGAAGTGTAATAATAAAATAGTATAATTTACATTTCCCTGGTGGTAAAGGCTATTGAACACTTTAAAAAGGTTTCTTATGTATTTGCATTTCTTTTTAGAATTTTCTGTTCAGTTCTATAACCCATTTTAATTAAATTATTTATTTTCTTAATGTTTTGTTTTTGAAGGTTTTGTTTTTGTTTTGGTATATTGTAGGCACTAATCTATGGGATGAATAGCAAGGTATATCTTTGGTCATAAAAAAATCCAGTTATTTTAAAAAATTCTTTTTAAAAGTTTTCAAAAAAAAACCTTAACAAAAGTGCTTTTAATCCAGTAGAAAATAATGTGTCCAGTTTAGTGGGAGTTGATATGCTCTAGGTACATTGGATTTTTGTATGAATTACCAAAGACTGTGTAATAAAAAATTATTTATTTTAAAATCATCTATAATTTAGGAGTCTTAGGAACTTATGTAGGATTCTTGTCATTGCATGTCTTATTGTCAGTATATGTCATTGCTGTATGTAAATTGAAACATTAGAGAATCTTTTAAACACCTGTCCAAAAAGACTGGCAACGATGGGGCTAGAAAAGGATTAGAAAACAAAAGTCTATATATCAGTAGTCAAAGAATCAAACCATTTCAAATTCTTCATCAAAACAAAGAAAAACTGAAATGCATAAAGAAACACAAAAAATTAAATGGTTGTGAATAGGATTGCCATGTTATGTGTGCACCTATGTGAAAACCATGAGACCAGAGCTAACAGGAAAACAGAAAGAAGCGTATACACTGACAGTGGTCCTGTCAGTGTAAGTAAGGGTTATCACTATGGAGCCTTGGTTGTCCCAGAAATCTCTATGCAGAGCAGGCTGGCCTCGAACTCACAGAGGTGCACCTGCCTCTGCCTCCTGAGGGCTGTAACTAAAGGTGTGCGCCACCACAGCAGGCCTTTCACGACACCAGCCTGTTCCATTCTTAAAGGTCCTGTTGAGACGTTACACCGGTCATGGCTGTCAGCGACAGTTGCCTTCCTATCAAAATTGGTGGCTAATGACCTCCTAACTGAAGGGCTCTGCGTTTGGAGGCTTTGCTTATTCTTCAGTGTGGTGCGTGTGGCTTTGGAAGTTACACGGATGACGTGGTTCCCCTCCCCCCATGGCCTCCCACTCTGCAACGGAAGCGTAACCCCCCCTGTTACCCCCCCCCCCCAACGGCACTCAGCCGGAAAGCAAGTGTGGCCCGACGCAGGGCTCGCGCGCCTCCTCTTCGTGACGAACTTCGGGCCTGCGAGGACTCCGTCTGAGGAGCGCCTCTCGGCCGCTGGACGTCCTTGGCGGCAGCGTCTACCGTCCACCGCGGAGGACTCAGACCTCGCCGTGTCAGTTGCCCTGACAGGTACCGAATTTTTAGAAACTCTTGAGAAATTAGTGTCCCTAGGTGTGTTGGCTATTATTTTTTTAATCCCCTGAGGTAGGGAACATCCCGGTGGCCACAGGACGTAGGCCATGAACTAAGATTGGGCGGCCTAGGCCTCTAGAATTGCCACCTCAGCCGTGTGGATGCCGCATACACGACGCTCGTGGGCTCATGACGCGCCCTGAGGTGGGGAGGCCGGATTCTCTGTGTCCACATTAAATTAGGGTGGCAATGGAGTCTATGGCATGGGCTGTGGTGGGGAGGCAGCATTCCTGGTGGGCACATTAAATTAGGGATTAGGGTGACCATAGATTTGTTAGGCATGGCTTGTGGCAGGGAGGCCAGATACTTGGTGTCGGTATTAAATTAGGGTGGCAGTGGTGTCCTATGGCATGGGCTGTGGCTGGGAGGCCCGATTCTTGGTGTCCACATTAAATTAAGGTGGCAATGGATTTGTTAGGCATGGCCTGTGGCCAGGAGGCCGGATTCTTGGTGTCCGTATTAAATGAAGGTGGCAAAGGAGTTGTAGGCCATGGCCAGTGACAGGGAGGCTGAATTCTTGGTTTTCACATTAAATTAGGGTGGCAATGGAGTCCTATGGCATGGGCTGTGGCGGGGAGTCCTGATTCTTGGTGTCCACACTAAATTTGGGTGGCAATGGAGCCCTATGACACGGACTGTGGCAGGGAGGCCTGATTCTTGGTATCCACAATTAATTAATGTGACAATGGAGTCTATGACATGGGCTGTAGTGGGGAGGTTTGATACTCAGTGTCCACATTAAATTAGGGTGGCAATGGAGGGGTAGGCCATGGCCAGTGACAGGGAGGCTGAATTCTTGGTGTTCACATTAAATTAAGGTGGCAATGGAGTCCTATGGCATGGGCTGTGGCAGGGAGTCCTGATTCTTGGTGTCCACATTAAATTATGGTGGCAATGGAGCTCTATGGCATGGGCTGTGTTGGGAAGGCTGGATTCCTGGTGTCCACATTAAATTAGAGTGGCAATGGAGTCCTAAGTGGACAGGAAAACCACAATAGCTCATAATTTCCACCTCCTATTGCTGACAGAGCATTTTTTTTCTTTAAAGGTCCTGACTTGCCATTACAATGGACCGGAGTTTAGAGGAGGCTTGGAAGCAGACAGATGATATTATTGAGACTGTCCAGCAGCAACCCCCTCCTCTGAGACCCACGTCTTGTGGGGAAAAATCTCTTCAGGAAAAACTATATGAGATTTATGTGGAGGAGTGTGGAAAGGAACCAGAAGCAGAGGGCCTTCGAAGCAATGTCAACTTGCTAAAGAAGCTTATGAAGAGAGAGCCATTGCCATGTTTAGTGGTCAACCTGTACCCAGAAAACCAGGGCTATTCTCTCATGCTCAAGGATAAAGACGGAGTCCTTATAGAGCCCTTTCCAGGGCCGTATGTGGGACAGAAATTGCTTGAATATTTGGATGCTGAAGAGTTACCTTCTTTTTTGATTGATATCCTGGAAAAGTCTGCTGTGAATGTTTTCCACAATGGCTGTGTCATAGCAGAAATCCGAGACTACAGGCAGTGCGGTGACATCTATCCTCCCGAGGAGCCTGCTGCAGAGGCTGCTGTGTCCTCTCCTACGTGCCAAGTTCAGCATGTTCTCTTACGTCCAACCATGCAGTCTCTAGTCAGCGATGTCGAGTCCATGGCAGGTGACAGCGGTCAGTGGACCCAGGAAGAAAAACTGGAGCTCGAGAGCCAACTGATCTTAGCTACAGCAGAGCCACTGTGTCTGGATCCCTCTGTTGCTGTCACCTGCACGGCCAACAAATTGCTGTTTAATGAGCAGAAGATGAACACTGACCCCATGCCGCAATGCTTCAAGAGGCATGCATGCCCCTCTCTGGATCAAGAGGAGGTTCCGTCTGGGTGTTCTAGTCCCCCTGACTTCACGACAATGACTCCTTCCAAAAAGCAGGCAAAAATAAGTCCAGATAACCCATCTGACCTGCAGATTGATGAAACAGAAACATGCAAGCAGAGTCTCTGTGAACCGGCTGTGCCTCCAGAGATGGACATTGAGAACTTCATTAAAGAGTTGCTATCTCTGCCCTTTGATGAGGCCGAACCAACCGTCTTGGCAATTCCTGAGGTAAAATATGATTGTATGTTTGATTGTGAGGATGACAGTCAGCTATGGGATATGAATCTAGATATCATGAAGTGCCTTAATACACTTTTCTCTGAGGAAATAGAGCCACTTCCAGAGGACAAAAGTGATAACCCCATGTCACTCCCTCCCATGCCCCTGGGTGATAATTCAGATGATTTGCTGACAGGGATAAACACTGAGCCTAGGAAGACAGTGGGTATGTGCCAAGAGCCTGTCCAGAGCAAAGCTAGTTGTCCCGACAAGATGCCACAGGGGTCTAGTAGGTCAGCCTGTCTTCCTCAGCCCGCCCCAGGGAAGAAGCCCATGGCCAGTTTAGTGCCATTCTCAGCCTTAGAGAAGGAAAGCAAAACTCCTCTACCAGTGTCACTGGCCCCCATCTCGAGACAGGGCCCCTCATCTGTCAGGCCGGTCACACCAAAGGCCAGCCGAGACCCGCCACCTGCTCCTCAAGCAGCCACTGTGGTTCCACAGACCACTGTGGGAATGAGCAGAGTTAGCACTGTTCCTCCAGCTGTCCAACCCAGTGCTAGGTCATCAGAAAACAATTCCAAGATCCAGCCCCCCACTAGGGCCACTCATCTGAATGTGATCCATTTTGTAAGGTCTGCTTTGGTGAGTAGTGCAACCCAGGTCCCAATCCTTCCCGCTAGCACCCCAGCTGCTAAGAGAACCGGTTGTAATAGCCTTATTCCAACCAGAGAGCAGCCACCTAGGCCAGCGCAGTGCACTGTGAAGCCACCTATGCAGCTCATTATAAATAATACAGCAAATCCCGTAACTGTAAAGGTTCCCCCTGGCTCTGTCATTTTGCACCCAGACTCTCAGAAGCCATCCCAGAGACCACAGCAGTATCCACAGCAGATATTTGTATTGATTCCAAAGCAGCATCAACCACCCAGGGCCCCTGTCCCCCAACAGCCACAGCCAGGGTCAGCAACTTCCTCCCAAGGGTCTAACCCTCAGCAGGTGTCCTTGCCAGCTCAGCAAACTAGCCGCCTTAACACTGAGAGGCCCAGAGTGGTTCAACAGACCCAGACACCTGTGATGTGTCAGGTGGGCTCCACCCAGCAGAGCCACAGGCAGAATGTTCCCTCTGCTGCCGTGGTACAGCAAGGGCAGAGGCAGGGGCAGAGGCAGGGGCAGACCCAGAATGTACAAGTGAGAATCATACCACACATAGTAACTGTGTCCAGAGCAGACATTCAGTACGCTGTACGTGGGAATGCAGCTAGCAAACCCAGTGATAGAGGGGCGGGAGGGCCACCAGCCCCCCCAAGGTCCTGAGTCTTACTTCTCTATAAAATGTACCAGCATTGAGCTAAATCATTCCTAGTTTTTATTTCACTGTTGGTGTTTGGAATGAGTCAATATGTTACAGCTTAAAATGCAAAAGTAAAAGCTCGATGCCCATTGCGTAGAAACAGAGAAGGGATTTTTAAAACCTAGGGCTGTTTTGCTTGTTTTGCTTCTTGCGTTTGATAAAGGTGTGTTTATTGTAGTGTCCCAGTGTGAATCCACATCCGAAATTTGTTATCTTTAGTAATTCCAGATTGTCATTTAGATAAACATTCAAATGTAGTCACAAGGGGCTGGACAAATGGCTCCGCGGTTAAGAGTACTTGCCGCCCTTACAAGGGCTGGGGTTTGCTTTCCAGCACCCATTTCAGTCACCTCCAGCTCCAGAAATTCTGACAGACACTTTTCTGGCTTCTGAGGAGACACACATGCATGTGTCCCTCTCACACAAATATAATTTAAAAATAAAATAGCTGAAGTGATGGCTTTAGTGCTTAAGAAAATTCGTTGCTTTGCAGAGGAGCGGGGTTTAGTTCTTTGTACTGACATGGTGGCTCACAACCAACTGTAAGTTTAGTGCCAGGGAATATGATGCCCTCTTCTTAGCTGCATGGGCACCAGGTACCCACATGGTGCGCATACACATACATGCAGGCAAAGCTCCCAAGCACATAAACTTAATATGTCCTTTTTAATTGCAACAATATACTTTAAGTTCATAACTTAGCAATAATTGAGAGGCTTATTGTAAATGATGATTAAAAACAAACACACATTTTGCTGTTTTAACAAAAAGTTTGGAATGAGTTTTGTCTTCAATGACTTTTTTCTCACCACCCCTGCCCCCCCACCCAGCAAAAACAGGATTTCTCTATGCAGTTCTAGCTGTCCTGGAACTCACTCTGTAGTCCAGGACAGTCTTGAACTCAAAGAAATCCTCCTGCCTCTGCCTCCCGAGTGCTGGGATTAAAGGTGTGCCTACGCCACCACTGTTCAGGCTGTTTTAACAATTGTACAGTCACAGCTCAGTATTAGAAAGTTCTGTCCCAATGCTGTGCCGCGTCCTTCTACAACTAATTCATTTGTTTTGGGGATTGAAACTCTGCACCCTTAACCGTGAAACCCCCCATTTCCTGTCCCCCAGCCCTGGCTGCTTATGCCCCCAGGAGTCTGAGTGCTCGCAGTACCTCACATGTGTGAACCACGAGGTGGCCATTATATCAGACAGCCTCTTTCACTTGGCGTGATGTCCCCAAGGCTCGTGCATGTTGTGCCTTGTGACATTTGTAAAAATGATTTTCCTGTTAAATATGTAAGGAAGTGACTTGTGAACCAGGAGAAATGTCTTTCAGGAGAATTTAGTCTGTACTTCTTAGTTTAAAAGGCCCGCGTGCAGCGTCTGAAATGCGGTTGCTGCGAGCACGCTGGGAAAAACTAATCCCAAAGGAGACCAGAACAAAGGAAAGTCGACATACTGAAATTGTGTCCGCCCTAGACAGACACCCTGTGCAAGGGAGTCGGTGGCAGATTTGTTTATGACCGTCCCAGCCCTCGGAAGGTTTCCCAGCACTTGGGGGCTCGGGCTGACCCCAGATCTCCTCCAGACCCTGCCACTGGCCTGGAAGAGGCAGTCTGGGATGACTTGCTGTGGTTCTCCTTGGGAGGCCGTTTACCTATTTTAGAACATTCTAGGATATTTGCACGAAAGGAATAAGCACTTGGAAATTCCGTTTTCTGGTCTGCTTCTCCAGTGCCCACAGCCCTCTGAGCTGTAAAGTGGGTTCTTCTCCTCCTCCTCCTCCTCCTCTCCCATCCCCCCCGCGCCCCTCCCCCGGCCCTGTTTATCCCTCGTCAGTTGTTCAGCTCCTTTTGGTTTTCCTGTTTCAGTGAACTGAACTGCTCCGTCTCTTCTGATTTGTTCTCTTTAGAGAGTCAAGGTGTGCTGGGCTGGCGAGATGGCTCGGCCCTTAAAGGCTAGGCTCACATCCAGAATAGAAGAGAGTCGAGGGGAGATGAGCTCTGTAACACAAGCTTACCCACACCAAGGTAACATTTCCGTTGCCGTGAATCCTTTCGCATTCATGACATTGGCAGCGCTGTGCAGTCAGCCCCTCTGTCTGTTTCCAAACCATGCTTGGCACTTCAAAAGAAGTCCTGGGCCTCTTAAGCACTAAGGGGGAGGAAGGCTTCCTCCGCTCCCCCCAGCCACTGGCAACCACCGATTGCTTGGTGGCCCTATAGATTTAATTGTTCTTAGTGTTTATAGTGCATGAATTATACAGTGTTTGTACAACGTTCTACATTTTGTGTCTGCCTTTTTTTGCCTGGCACGTGTTTGATGTTTATTCATCTTGTACTATGCACCAGCACTTGGAGCCTCTTTGGCACATTCCCTGTATAAGGCCTGATCTGTTGTTTATCCGTGTTTGGGCTGTTGCCATCTTTTGGCTGCTGTGGGTACTGGTGCTGCCATCATTCATGTGCAGGTGTTATTTTGCTGTTTGTTTTGTTCTTTTGTAACTCTTAAGGATAGTCTGCCTACATGAAGTTTGCCTTTGTAAGGGCACATGTATGTTTATTTGCCTTTTGCCCTAAGAAGAGGAAACACGGCCTGTCCGTTCTGAAAGAGATTAGCGAAGGGACGGTGATGTCACTGGCATAGACCATGCTGGGGTCCTGCTGTTGCTCTTCAACAAAGATTTGGTCTCCTTCAAGCACGCTGGTTCCAGTGGCCACCGGAGTGACAGCGAGCTGACAGGAGCATCCTGGACATCGCTGGGAGTGGAGCCTGCACTTGGAAGAAGTGACGTGGTCCAGTGAGCAGTTGCAAAGGACTTAGCTCAGCCTCCGAGCCCAGCAGATGTGACCTCAGTGTGCTGCCAGTTTTGGTGTCCTTCCTCCCTTCGCTCTGTAACCGGTCCATTCAGGTACAATAAGCAGAATGTTTTGCTTGAGAGATGTGTTCTTTGTTTTCAGACAGGCAAATAAATTCATCTTTGTTTCCAATTACCATTTAGTGGCATCTGTTTATTTCCCTGAAGTTATCACTATCCTGCTATCAGTTTGATGTATTTTTCCCATTGATACTATTATTTGGTTATATTTTATTTTTAAACATAATTCTTTCTTTATTCTTTGGGAATTTCATACCATGCATCCCAATCCTTCTCTTCTCCCAGTCCCTCCTTAATTGTTCCTCACCCCTGTAGCCTGCTACCCAAAAGAACTCCCCCAAATTAATTAAAAACAAAACCAAACCCACCCCTCCCATAATTCCAATACCTCATCACTCATCCTAAAGGCACTGGGCGCTGCACTGTGTCAGGCAGTGTATCCTTTTGTTCAGTCAGCCCCACCTGCAAAATATTCATTGCAATGAGTCATTGGTCTGGGTCAAGGGCTCTGGCACTCCATCATCACTGGACCTCCCTGAAACTCCTCTCAGACATCCCGCTGTTGCCCTGAGTCATGAGATCCTGCTCTTATTGTTCCTCAGGACCAGTTCCTTCACACACTCCAGCAGGTCACAGATGGGGTAAATGTTATGGGAAGCCACCTCAAGGCCCAGTTGGTAGCTGAACTGGTTTGTCTGGGCCCCTGGGATTACCCCTCTCAGGCAAGGGGCAGAGCCAACTCTTTTTAGGGCCATGCCATAGGGGCCAGCTCTTCCACAACCTTGGTGAGAGGTGCGGCCATCTGTCTTGAGTGGGGGAGGGGGCAGGTCTCCTGCTGCAGTGCCCAGTGAGAGGAAGGGCCAGCCATCCCAGTTCCAGTAAGGGCTGAGGCCAGCTCAGCAGGGCCCTCAGATTTCAACATGCATGTTTCCTATGACCCCCTGTGGTAACATGGACCGTGGACATCACCAAAGTCTCCAACTGCAACAGGAACATGGGTGTCACTATGGCCCTGGTGGCAGCACAGGCCACCTGAGTTAGTATGGTCCAGTGGCAGCAAGGCCCTCAGACACCAACATGGTCTCAGGTGACTGTCCAGATACTGGGCATCTGCCCAGCCTCTAGTGGCAACAGCAGCCACGGCCATCAATCCAGACCCTGGAACTGGGTACATTTTATGATTTCACTTGATTTTAGTGTTATGAGAACCTGGAATGTCTTTCTTCTTCTTTTTTATACAGTGTTTCTCATGGTACTGGTCATCTTGGAGCTCACTGTGTGGACCAGGCTGGCCTCAAACTCACAGAGATCTGCCTGCCTCTACCTCCTGAGTGCTGGGACTAAAGGCTCGCGCCACCACTGCCCAGCTTCTCTTTCCTGATTCAAGATGAATTCTTACTCATTATTCAAAATTGGTTTGCTTATTTTTGTGTGTGTGTGTGTGTAAGTGTAGGTATTTGTAGCAATCAGATGACAACTTTTGGGACCCACTTTATACCTTTTTGAGGTGGACTCTCTTCCTTTTGCTGCTATGCTGTGTACTCCAGGGGAGAGGACTCTGGGGCTCCAGGGTCATTCTCCTGTTTCTACCCCTCATCTCATATTAGAGAGCACTGGGATGACAGCTGTTGGCCAGAACATCCGGATTTTTACGTGAGTTTTGGGAATGGAACTTGCTTGTGTGGCTAGCTCCTTGTGTGACTTTTACCTCCTGCGATATCTCTCTGGCCTCAAAATTTTTTTTTAATTTATTTATTTTCAAAATTAGCTTTTCAAAAGTCATGCCTTTGAAATAATTTCAGAGTATATTGATAGTGAGAACACAGGTGGACCAGAATTCTTCAACAGGTTACACAGAAGATGCCATCACAAATGAGCATCCAGTAACATCCAGGTAGCCTTAGTACAGCAGGGGATGCCTGGCCAAAGAGAGCCTTTGTCACAGGGGATATTGAGAACAAGCTGATTCCTTGAAGATACTGGAAGGGTGTGCCTTTGCTGTGCAGCACTGTGGGCATCTTATTGGAAGCCATGTGACCATAATCTCAACAGCTGGGAGGCTGATACAGGAAGATCAGTAGTTGGAGGCCAGTCCAATGAGATATTGAGATCTCAGCTCACAGCAACAGCATAGGATGTAACTTGAACCCCATATGTAACTTAAATTGTCTCATAGCCACATTTTCAAAATTAAAAACAAACAATAAAACAAGAGAATTACTTTTCAATAAAACTGACTTGGTCCAGCCTAGTACATCTAAAATATTACCACTTCTATTTTTATCAATATTTACAAATTCTCAATGATATCTTTTATATTTTTAGATCCATTGTTCTAACTCTAGACATTGTCTCAACTGTGGTGATGAATTTTCATAAACTATACTTGATATGCGGCTGGACTACTAGCTCAGTTTGTTAAGGGTGTGCTTGCATTGCAAGCACGGTGAACTGAGTTTGATATCCCAGAAACCACACGAAAAAGGAAAAACAAAACAAAAAACCCCCAGCAGAACTGGCATAGTAATGCAGGGGCAAGCAGGTCTCTGGGGTCATAGGCCAAGTAGCGCAGCTTACTTCACAAGTGACAGGCTGACAAGAGGCCTAGCTTTAAAAATAGGTAGATGGTACCTGGGAGAGACAGCTGAGGTCATCCTCTAGCTTCCATGTGGCCCTGACTCCCAACACATACACACACATACACACAAAAGTGTATGATATGAATTTAGA